GAATGAATCCAAATGATATGTACCAAACTCAAAATTATAGTTTCAACACCTAACCTGAAGAATTCCTCTATGTCAATTTCTGGATCAAAATAGCATCGCGTGTTCTACATGCCTTGCCTGCACCATAAAATCGATGAAAATACAAAAATATTATTAGTTAGTTATTCATGTCTACAATTATGTAGTTGGGCTAGTCTGCAGATACCGAAAAACTTTACCAAGACATATTTAATCTTTTCATGGAGTATTTGTAGATCAAAAATATAATACAAAACCATTAATGTCATGAGTATAACATATAGGCATAATTTTTATTTATTTATTTATTTTTATTTTTTTTGTGTAAAAATCGATTTGGGGATGGGAAAGTGGAAGTATATATATCAATTTACAATTGGAAAAATCAAGGTTAAGTGATGTGCTTATGGTTTAAAAAATAATAAATTCCGGAGATGGTGGGCTAGTACCTTGTAGGAAAAAAAAATAAAAATAAAAATAAAAATAAAAATAAAAATAAAAATAAAAATAAAAATAAAAATAAAAATAAAAATAAAAATAAAAATAAAAATAAAAATAAAAATAAAAATAAAAATAAAAATAAAAATAAAAATAAAAATAAAAATAAAAATAAAAATAAAAATAAAAATAAAAATAAAAATAAAAATAAAAATAAAAATAAAAATAAAAATAAAAATAAAAATAAAAATAAAAATAAAAATAAAAATAAAAATAAAAATAAAAATAAAAATAAAAATAAAAATAAAAATAAAAATAAAAATAAAAATAAAAATAAAAATAAAAATAAAAATAAAAATAAAAATAAAAATAAAAATAAAAATAAAAATAAAAATAAAAATAAAAATAAAAATAAAAATAAAAATAAAAATAAAAATAAAAATAAAAATAAAAATAAAAATAAAAATAAAAATAAAAATAAAAATAAAAATAAAAATAAAAATAAAAATAAAAATAAAAATAAAAATAAAAATAAAAATAAAAATAAAAATAAAAATAAAAATAAAAATAAAAATAAAAATAAAAATAAAAATAAAAATAAAAATAAAAATAAAAATAAAAATAAAAATAAAAATAAAAATAAAAATAAAAATAAAAATAAAAATAAAAATAAAAATAAAAATAAAAATAAAAATAAAAATAAAAATAAAAATAAAAATAAAAATAAAAATAAAAATAAAAATAAAAATAAAAATAAAAATAAAAATAAAAATAAAAATAAAAATAAAAATAAAAATAAAAATAAAAATAAAAATAAAAATAAAAATAAAAATAAAAATAAAAATAAAAATAAAAATAAAAATAAAAATAAAAATAAAAATAAAAATAAAAATAAAAATAAAAATAAAAATAAAAATAAAAATAAAAATAAAGAAAAGCCATAACTTTCAAGGATTTTTTTTATATTTCCCCAATGTAATCAAAGTATAATCTAAAATTTTGTGAAAAACATATTATATTCAAAACTCTCTACAGGGAGGAATGATTATCATTTTTCACACATATGACTCTCTCTTTTAGGTTTAGAGAACTAAAAATGAGAAAGCAAAGCTTGTGCATTTTTTTAACCTTTCTATGACTAATATTGCAATTGGAAGGTTTTATATTTCTATTAATATCATAAAGCATTTAATGAGTAAAATACTTAGTTTTGACTCAAATGTGTTTAGTAATAAAACTTAGTATTAATAAACATTGAATATAAATCATAAATGTCATAAATTTACCACTATAAAGTCTTAAAAAATTGATAGATTTCATAAGTATATAGATAACATAAATGAAAAGATAAAAAAGACAACCCTTGTAAGTTAAAAATATTATACTCACCAAGAAAAGCAAAAACCAACTAAAGAAATATATCAAGCACGATAATAGCACAAAAACTAAAATCATAGATAAGTATTACAACTCTAAACATTACCTTCACATCATGAGTATTTATTATAAATACCTACAAACTAATACGAATAAATTTAAAAACATATAAAAAGGTCGAACCAGAGAAACAACAATTAACATAACAGCATAATATGAATAGAATTTTTTGCTCCCCACAACCTTGCAGAAGAAAAAACAACGACGAGCATCTCTAGCCCTTACCCTTTACCCATATAAGATTGAATTCCAGAATAAATACAATACAAACCCTAAAGATATAAATATGACGAAACCCTAATTTTATTAGGCAAAATCCCAAAAACAATCTACACAATTTTTTTTTTCTTTCTATTTTGAATTGCATCCTCTTTAGTCGATTTAGGTATAAAACATCCCCAAAAAAAAAGGTAAAATTAGGGTTTGGTCCTTGCAATTTTTTTTACAACTCAAAAAAAAATAAAAAAATAAAAAAAATTAGATTTGTATGTATGAAAACCCTAACTTCTGAAAAACGAACCTGAACGATGGGAGAGGGGAGTGTGACAACTCTGGTCTTCCTACTTCGTCTCCTTCGACTTCTTCTCTCTCTCTCTCTCTCTCTCTCTTCTCTCCGTCTTCTCCAGGGAACACAAGTGTTATTTGTGTCTTGTTGGTCTTGCTTTTAGGCTTTATAAGTAAAGGGGCAAAATAAAGAGATCGGTGAGAGGGCAGAGGTGGGAGAAAGGCGAAAGAGATCGGTGGTCGATGAGAGGAGAGAGGAGAGAGGAGGCGGTCGAACATCGTCATCGGTGGAGGGAGATCACCGTTGGGAAGAGCATAGAGGAGAGGAGAGGAGAGAGGGGAGGGGGGTTCTCTGAGACAGTGTTTATGGATCTTTTCATTTTCATAAAAAGCGAGCAAACAAATTTTGAAGGCAGTTTTCCATCAATACCCTTGCATCCAAAGAAGAAAAGTTATAAAGCATAAGGCCAAAATTGACTTTTCAGTTATTCAGAAAATACTGTTCATATTTGGCTGAAACTACTGTTCACTTTGCATCCGTGCTTTATATATATTGTATAGATATCTACGTTCTACCTTTTGAGATTGTGAAAAGGAAAGAAGAGGAGAATGAGAACTGAAAAGAAGATGAAGAACATGAAGAATGAGAAGAAGTTGAAAATGAAGATGAGGGTATA